GCACAGCGGGATCCGTGGTGGCATCGACCTGAGGGTCCATTTCTCAAGCAGGGACAAAGCCGGAGCCAGCGATTTACATTGCTCGGGACCCCGTAGCGCTTAACGGGAGCCTTGTGCTGGCAAGGACCCAAGTCGGCCCGAGGCAGTGTTCGAGGAGGTCCGGAGAGCCTGGAGGGCCCACCGGATCCGACCATCAATGGCTCCATTGGCGGGTGTAAGGGCGCGAGGAGCTGGTCGGAGGCTTATTCAGAGGTCCCGGTTTGCGAGATGGATCCTCAAATGACAGTCAGAGCGCCGATTGCGCCGATCAGGGACACATTGATTCGCATGAGTCTATATGTCGGTCAGGCACCGCCAGTACCGCATAGTCCGCCCCGTACCGGTATAGTCCTGTGGGCTCATTCTCAGCCAGCTGCAAAGCCGGGTTCAGGGATTTATACTGGTCGGGGCCCCTGTATCTGCCAGGAGCCCACAGCGCTTAACAGATGGTCCTGTGCCCGTAAGTGGCTCCGAGCCGACCATTGGCAGTGTTCCATGAGACCCGAAGAAGGGTACAGGCGGCCCAACGGAACCGACAATCAAAGGCCCGGTTGGAGAGCATACGGGCGCGAATGACTGACTGTAGGTTACATAGAGAGTCCCGGCCCGTAGGGTCGTGACCTGAAATGTAAGTCAAAGGTCCTCTTGCACTTTTTGAGGAACCGCTGAGATAATGCGGGTGTTGAAGTCGGCCAGAGACCAAGAACACCGAACAGTTGGCTCCCCGTCAGTCTGAACCTTGGGGGTCAATTTCCCGAGAAGGAGTAAGACCGGGGCCACGACTTGCATTGGTCCAGGTGCCTGAAACAGTGGTTGGGCCCCTGTGTCGGTCAGCGGTCCACGGGGCATAACAGGGGGTCATGTCTCGGCTGGTGACCCCTTGTTAGCCCGGGGGCTTTGTTTGAGAATGTCCGAAGAGGACCGAAGGGCTCTTCGGGACCAAAGACTAAGGGCCTGATTGGACTCGGGCCCGACCCCCTACCCGAGTGCCGTGATCTTAAATGTCAGGCAGTGGGCTTCCATTAGGCCCTTTTATTGGGGCTCTCTAGCCCTAATATGTAACGTCTTTACACGGAGTCAAACAGTTGGCGGTATGTCCGTCAGAGCCCTCGAGGCCCAAGCACGAACAAGGCCAGCGCCCGCGATATGCAATGTTCTGGTTCCCTGGCACAGTGAGCGGCTCTTGTGTCGGTAAGGAGCCACAGTGCCTATCAGGGGGAGTGTAGCGGCAAGTGGCGCGAGTCGGCCAGAAGTGGTGCTTAAGGGGCGCGACGAGGGGCCGAAGGGTCTCTTGAGACCAGAGATCAAGGGTCATATTGGAAGGCTGAACGACCAAAAGGACTGGAGGTAGGTCACATTAAGGTCTCCCGCCCGTAGGACCGCGATATCAAATATCAATTGGATGGCCCGCCATTTACATTGGCCGGAGTCCCTGCAACAGTGCGAGCTCCTGTATTGTTCAGGGGCCCACAGTGCCTAGCAGGGTATTTTGTGCCAGAGCCTTGACAAAGCCAAAGCTTGACGCACAGCCAGAGCCTTGACAAAGGGGAACAGGGTCAAAAAAGGGTCCATAGCAGTAAAAGGCCGCACCGCTCCCCCAAATTGCCCGATGCTGGCAATTTGTTAGTGAAGACATGTTCTTTTTTATATGTTTCATTTTTACCTTCAAAATTGGAAAAGAAACCAGAAGCCACCGCGAGATAAATGCTGTCTGAGGTTTAGTCAATGCACTGAAATAGCATGTGTTAAAAAGCTGCATCCAAAAATCTGCGACGCTTTTCATGTTGCAATGGTTCAGTAGGCTCTTTTTGAACCCATAGCACTGAAGAAGTTTATCAGCAGTTTTATCTGGGTTGTACAGAGATAACAAAGACCCCACGAATGGAAACTGAGGATCAAAATATGTCGACAATTCGTATTTACATGGCCAAACCATGTCTGTCAGGAACTGTTCAACATTCAGCCAGAATCGATTAGTGATACAACTTGTGTAACGTAGTTTGAGCATGTGTGCGCACATCTTAGCAACAATAACCTCGACACATGGCATTGCAGTTTCCATAGGCTGCGCGGCGTCAACCCCGTAGTTAACACTAAGTCGTGGGCAACAGTTAGACAAAGACGATGACGCATCTGAAAGGAGTACCTTTGAGAACTTAAGGACTTAAAATCACACATTTAGAAGATATTTGTAGGGCGCATATTTTTCCTGAGCGATTTTTTAACTGGATGATGCTGACGTATTGACCTTTAGAGCATTGCTGGAATCTGGTCGAGGAACTAGAAGAAAAAAGGTAGAAGCGTTTTTTTCATATTGCTGTAACTGTTAACCTGTAATTAAGAAAATACTCGCCGAGTCTAATCTTTGATCGGTACGAATTAATTTTGAAAAAAGTTTGAAAACATTGTTTTACGATGGTCGTTCTTGCGCTCACCACGCCCGCCGCCTGGCGTTACTTTCAGTGGCCAATGCCGCTCGGTTTTACGGAAACTGCAACCCAAGATACCGCTGTCCTTGCTCCCGAGATTGCGGGCGCGCAAGCTCAAAGCTTTTGATGTAATATGTTTCACTAGTTGATTCTGCAAAAGAAATAACGTTCACAGGCAAACATGAGATGACCTTGTACGTTTTTAAACCCATTTCGACACACTCCGTTCAACATTAATAAGATCCCTATTTCTCTCCGGGAAAAGACCCACTTGAGAATAACACTACGGGCACATTATTGTTCCCGGCCAAGAGCTGAAGGACCATTTGTCCGAACGCGGTATGTCTTATCGGCTGTTATTCCTGCGACGCGGGAAGAGATCCCATGGCCAATACGGAGGCCATTAGAGAGGTACATCATATAATATTGGTCCGCTCCCTGACGCGGGAGGCCTTCTGACCCGCGCGGTTGACCCAGGATCGACGCAGGAATCCTCATTGTTGCAACAACGTCCCTGATCGTCGCAGGTGGTCCAATAGTTGGCACGTAGACGACAGTCCGGCTTAAAAGGCCCATGTTGGAATTGGGCTGGAGAGCCCACCATTCGGTAATGGTGCCCTGACTGGCACAGGACCCTTCAAATTGCCTCAATGTGAGCACTCGTCATAAGTTATGTTTCCTCTCGTTGTTGGAGGGCCCCGGCCAACGCAAGAGGATCTCTGTCATTGCGAGTCCCGTTCCGTCCCTGTTGAGCAAACTTCCTCTGACCGACTCGAGACCCCTTGTTAGCCAAAACACGTTGCTGGGCACTTTGGGCCACTGAAAGATACAGGAGCGTCGGCCAATATAAATGGCGGGCCCGGTCTTGTCCCTGCTTCGAGAATGGGACCCCGGAACTCAGACCAACACGGAGCCGACTGTTCGTTGTTGGTGATATCTGGTAGAAAAAGAGGAATGCTCCGTCTCAGGGGTCCCAATCAGTGCAAGAGGTCGTTTAACGGACATTTGAGATCAAGGCCCAATGGGTGGGGGTCCTTGGTGTGACCCATGGCCAGTACTTTGGGTACTTCAGCGTTCCAATATGACCCCTGGTCTTTTGTCGCGAGATCTTCGGCCCCGCTTCGGACCGCCTCAAACCCTGCTCATGGCCGACTCGGGCCCATCCGCCGCCACAGGACCGGTGTTAGGCACTATGGCTCCTGACCGGGGCACTATGGCTCCTGACCGACACAGGAGCCCTTCATTTTGTCAGGAGCCCTGAACATAGCAAATCGCGGGCCCCGGCCTGGTTCCTACTTGAGAAATAGGCCTCCAGGGTTCGGACGGACGTGGAGCCGACTGTTCGGTGTTCGGGATCTCTGGCCGACCTGGATACCCGCACTGTCTCAGGGGCTTCCTGGAACGGTGCAAGAGGACCTCTGACAAATATTTCAGGTCACGATTCTACGGTCCGCGATTCTTTAAGTGATTTACAGCCAGTCCTTCGGGCCCTTATGCCCTCCAACCGGACTTTTGATCGCCGGTTCCGGTGAGCCGCTCAGGCCCCTCTTCGGACCTCACCGAACACTTCCCTTGTTCGGCTCGGGATCCCATGCGAGCACGGAACACTGTTAGGTGCTGTGGGCCCGTTACAGACATAGGGGTTCCGAACAGTGTAAATAACTGGCCCCGGCTTTATAGCTGAATGGAAATGGGCTCTCAGGCCCAAAGCAACAGGGAGCCGTTCGTGCGTTACTGGTGATATCTGACAAACATATAAGCCCTTATCGACTCAGGGGGCTCCTGATCAGCGCAGCGTCCTTTGGCTGGCATTGGAGTGCACAGCCCCGTCTCCGTCTCTGCAGCGTTGATTATACGTGTATTTTCTCCACTAAATCTTTCGTTAGATAAATGCTGCTTGTTCTGGAGGCACTAATTTGGGCATTGCTGAGTCGTAACTATTTGCAAAAGTATTTCCTTAATCCTTACAGCATAGTTCAGTAATGTTATATGCCGATATGAATTGATTTGGTCCCGGGGCTTGTTGCTTTTTGGGATGGGCATCAGCACGCCCTCTTTCAAGGAAAGAGGTACATCACCCTTATTGTAACTTCCGTTATGCATCCTTGACAAGAAACGCATAACATCTTTTCCAAATATTTTGTGAAATTCAGCCGGGAATCCGTCAGTTCCAGGCATTTTGCCGTTTTTCACGTTTCACAATGCTGCGTGCAGACCACTCGGCTCTAGAGGGCTCTCCATGAACTCGCTATCGTTGTCGGATAGTGTCTTCCTGGTTTAGTGGCGCGCCAAGGCCGGCAGTTGGCTTTCGGCGCGCTGGTTTGGGATCAGTGAGAAACGGCTGATCACGCGACATAGCGTGACGGGGCGGGCAATCGCAGCCAGCAGTCCATAAAGGGGGTGGGACGGGGAGTGGGGAGTGGGGGTGGGGAGGGGCGGCCGGTCCGTCATTGGTCTGCTCGACGCTAAGGCCGCGAGGTGCAGTGACGCGTGGACGCGGCTCCCAGCAGACCCAGCCGCACAGACGCCAAGATGCTTGCGTGGGCGCTCGTTCTGCAGCTGCTGCAGCTGCACGCCGACGCGCCGCTGGAGCTCTGGAACTACGACGATCCGGCGGCCTGGAAGACCCACTTCCCCCTGTGTGATGGCCCACTGCAATCGCCCATCGATCTGGTGCCCACACCCTGCAGCCGCAGCCCACAGATCGAACGCGTCAAGGTGGATTTTGCGCCAGGCCTGAAGAACGGCGAGATCATGGGCATGAACACTGGCCGCAACATCAAGCTCTTCTTCCGGCCGGAGAACATCACCGCACCGCTCATGCAGCTTACCTTTCCCAGCAAGCCGAAGTTCGGCACCTACAGGTTCCTGGAGATGGTCTTCCACTGGGGAGAAGAGCTGGGTGACCATGGTTCCGAGCACACTATCGACGGCAAGTTCTTCGATGCCGAGGTGCAGATGGTGTTTTTCAGCGACAGGTACGGCACGTACGAAGAGGCCAGGAAGCACCCCGCCGGGCTGACGATCGTGGCAGTGCCGCTCAGTGCTGACTTGGATCGGCCTGTTCCTCATCTCACGTTCCCCATATTCCAACTCGATGTCATCCTTGAGGACCTGGCCCCGGTGAACAGCACCATCCTCATCGAAGCTGACCTCACGCCGATGATGGGGATGATGCAGACCGCACTGACGCGGTACTACAGCTACTACGGCAGCTTGACGGCACCACCCTGCAATCCAGTGGTGCTGTGGCTGGTCTCGTCCACCGAGATGTCACTGCAGCTGGAGTTCATCGTCCAGCTGTACGCTGAGATCTTTCAGGACGATTTGCTTGGCAGGAAGCTTGTCATGAACCGGCGCTCCATCCAGCCCAGCATGAGACGGGTGGTCACAGTGTGCTCGGAGCCATGATCACCCAGGTCGTGTCCTCAGTAGAAGACCAGAAGACCAGAGGACATCAGTCCGCCCTAGACGCGCTGCCTGGGGCCGGCGCAGCACGGCGTCAGGTAGACAGCTGTCACCCATTGGGACGACATCGAAGGCGCCGTCACTGCCTAGTGCGAGGCACCCACCATCGGTGAAGCCATGCGATTTCGATGAGTAAATGCACAGAGAAGGTCTGCATACATATGTCTGTCAGTCACACCCTTGCTGCGTTACAGGAATGTTCACGTTTGAAGATAGTGAAGCAAGCATCAGCTATGATGAAATATAGCTATACAAGCATTTGCACGGATGCCTCGCTAGGCTCAGTGAGAAAAGGAGAATTTTGAACTATCTATCTTTTGCGGTTTCATTGATGATTCTAGCTGGTGCCTGGGTGCCGAAAAAATGGCGCAAAACGTAAAAACGGTCGGAAATAGCCGAATCCATCTTGTTGGCTCGTGCACGCGTGACACACAACACGTGCAACATGGCAATTTATACCAGATGATCGCCCGTTTGCATGTCACTCCTGCGTGTGTCTGTACCCTGGGTGCCGAGATGTGGCCAAAACGTCTGCCTTTAAGGATGGTACATCTTTTCGTGCCATTCCCGTGCCGCTCCAACCCGTCGTCGTCGGGATATTGGTGCGAAATGGCATAGTTGGTCGTTGGCAGTGAAATAGGCAGTCATTCACGTAATCAAGACGGCCGTTTAACCTTGAACAACCCAAAGCCCTAGAGCAGAAACAACCGACGGCGGCGGCCGGGGGACTGAGCGGCGCCGTTCTACCGCGACGCAAAATCAGTCAAGCAGCCCATTAGTCTAGCCTCATTTGCGAGCAAACCATCGCAAAATGTGACCAGCAAAAGAGTGGATAAGAGACAGGATGAACCGGCCAACACGCTGATAACGATTTTAACACAAACTCTGAACAATTTTGACGGTAAAGGCTTGTATTCGGCTGCGTCTTTAAATGCTTTGCATCTTGCAAATTGTCTCGCAATTTGCGGCGCAATGGTGCGTCGCACAAACTCGCGGTGCGCGCTGAAAGTGTAGTCGCTTCAATTGTGAATGTCGAGAAACAAAATTCGCGCCTCTGCCTGCACTGCGCGTCGAGATATATCCCAAAACGTAAAAACCGGTCACAAATGAGCAATTTTGCATTCTTGCCACGTTTGCACGTGCCACGTGGAGCGTAGCACCACCAATTTGATACGATCCTATGGCCCATTCGATTCGTCATCTGGGTGTGCAAGTTTCATGTCATTGCGACATTTGGTTATCGAGATTTGGTTCCGGAATTGGGCGCGGGTCGTGCCGTCGTTCGGTGGTCGTAAAAGTTGTGCCGCGTGTGTTAAACCTGCGTAAATTTGTGGGCCCCTTTTTGTTCACCGCGCGGTCATTTTTGCGAAATGCAGAAATTTGACGTGACGCTGCCACGCTCTGCCAGCAGCCCTCCGTGGTTTGAAAATTTCATTAGCATCTTTCTTACCGTTTAGCCTGCGCATGATCCCGAAGAATGGCGGGCGTGCATACATTGCTGCTGAAGTATAGTAGAAGACCGGATGACAATTTCATTAACACGCACCCGGGTGGCCGCTTGGATACCCTTCGCTTGGGTGGGGGGGGAGGGGGGTCAGTTTGACCCCCCTGAGACCCCGAGAACTAAGAAAGCTAGAGACACCAAATTCACAGGGTGTGTTGATCTGTACGTGAACTCTCTTAGGTCAAATTTTGAGATTCCTAGGTCATAACCTTCGGATCAGGAAAGGTCAGATAAGGTCAAATTCCAAATGGGCTCCAAAGGGCCCCTAAAACCTAGGCAACTGTTATAAACGTCACGGCTCAGTTAATGTCATTGACCTTGTTCGACCTTTTAAAGGTCATGGTGACCAAAATGATATAAGACTGCTTTGAGTTTTTCACTTGGATAAGCGACAAAGAATACGCTAGACAGTATGCCCCTAAAACAAAATGCTGACCTGAGTTATTCTAGGTCTGTGGCCTATTCCGGCCTTTAAGAAGTCCATGGAAGGTGAATAATGCCGTACCTCTTATCAATGTATTCGAAATGAGTACCAGAAACCCGTCCGTACAGCAAGCACGAGAGTAATAAAACAGGTTGGTTTTGGCCTTGGTCTGACCTTTATATCTCACCCTAGGTCAATGCTATTTGTTTATTCAGTTGTTGTGCCTAAGGAAGTACCTTATAGATGCATGGCTCTGTCCAACACTCCGTTTCTTTCATCGGATTGAACGATTCCCTAGAAATTTATTTCTCTGAAACCATGGCCTGACTGACCTTCCATAGGTCAGCGCCCATACAAGGTACATCTAAATTCTCTTATGTAGAACGATACGCTATTGAATTGTCTATAGCTTTGCAAAATTTGGTCGGGCTACGTCGCGCCGTTCGGAAACCACTTTGGAAAAACCTTCGAGGGGTCAATTTGAATTAACCCCCGCCCGAGCGCGTGTTAAATAATTCCTTACCGTTTAGGCTGCGCGTGATCTCAAAGAACGGTGGGCATACATGCATTTTTGCTTTAGTGTAGTAGAAGATAAGCGTCAGCTACGATAACTAGTAATATACTTTTAAGTGGAAAATGCTGCTCTAGACAACACAACTTATCTGTATAGTAAACATGTGCCTCAGTTCGCCGTTGGTCGATTACGTCATCATACCGTGCACAACACTGATTGAGAGCCAACTGACGGACGCTATATCTGGAAATCGTGCCCACGAACGCCAAATATGAACGACGCAACTGTGGACCACTCCCTTTAAACTAATGTATGTGTTCCATGATGCTTGTATGCAACGTTGATCAGGATTTCTCTGTTAGGACAATAGTATTAGCCTTATTCCTCGGTAAAAAACCGGAGGATGGAGGCATAGTTGGGTTGATATTTCGGTGACATGCCGTTATCGAAACAATAGCGAAAGTCACTTTTGCTATTGTTTCGATAAGGGCATGTTGCTGAAATATCAACCCAAATGTATCTCCATTCTCCTGGTTTTTCTCCGAGGAATAATGTTAATACTACTGTCTTACCTATGTGAATAATGTTGCTCGCTAATGCACTGAACGACTTACGTGGGATTTAAGCTGTATATATATATATATATATATATATATATATATATATATATATATATACATATAAGATTAGATTAGCATCTTAATAGGTATGGAGCAATGCAGATTTTAATGAATGCAGCTAAGTATCGCCCTTTTTGACGATTAGACTGGGTATGAAGAAACAGCAAGCATTTTGCCCCAAACCGTGAGCACCTAATTTTGGCCTGCTGTTACTGCCCCTCCGATGTCCACTAGTTCTCTTTTAGATGTGTGTATTGTCCAAAACCGTAACCGTGACCTCGTGTGAAAATCCAGTGCCAACTTGGAGCATAACATAACGCCATTATGCATCTATTCATTTCATGACACTTAAATCAAGGTGTCAGAATAGATCGAAACGTACAGGGCTCATCATGGTCGATCAGATGAAGGCGATTAGTGCCGCAATACGCGATGTGTGCTATAATCTAAATCTTGACAACAATAAGTGTCTTAACAGGCGCCCGGGTGGTCAGTTGGATACCCTTCACTGGGGTGGCGGGTCAAGTTGACCCCCCTTAGATCTCAGGAACTAAGAAAGCTAGCGACACAAAATTGACAGGGTGTCTTGGCCTGTACGTGATCTCCATAGGCCAAAGTCTGAGGCTCTTAGGTCATGACCTTCGGGTCAAGTGACGTTAAACAAGTTTAAATTCCAGGATGGTCTCCAAAGAGCCCCTTGAACCTAGATGACTGTCTTAATAAAAAGATAACATGCTCATTACGCTTGCGAAACGAAATTATTGGCGACAGACTGCTGCTTCCCTGCTGCTTCCCTGCTGCTGCTATGCTGCTTCTGAGGCTGCTGCTTCCCTTCTGCTTCTCAGACTGCTTCTCAGACTGCTTCTCCTCTGCTGCTTTCCTGCTGCTTCCCATCTGCTTTCCTGCTGCTTCTCTGCTGCTTCTCTTTGATGCCTCTCAGAAAACGCGGCCACTGCGTGTTTTACGCGGACTAAAACTAAGCAGTGGCGTTGGGTCTTGTGTCTGGGGCACTTGCGCGTTGCAGGGCTGGGCCGCAGCTTCTGTCAGCGGCGGCAGCGACGGCGGCGGCGTCGCTTTCGACGCGGGCGACGGCACAGCTGGTGGTGGCCGTGGCACTACCGATCGTGGTGCAGGCGCCGGTTCGCGCGGCTGCGGTTGCAGCAGCGCCGGTGGCGCCACCTCAGCATGGCGGCCAGAGAGGAGGTCTGGAGCGGGCACCCTGTGTGCAGAACAGTCAGCACGCCGCGCGGAACCGTGCTGTGTCAACACCTGAAACGGAGGGATCTGCATCAGATGACGTCGGTTGCGACGATAGCGAGCACCCTTGAGCTCCACAAGGTAGCTGCGTCTAGAGAGCTTCTCTATGACGGTGGCGGGCTCGGACCAGCTTGCTTCCTTCCCCGTCTTGATCCGAACATGATCCCCGGGCTGTAGCTGCTGAAGATCGCGGGCACCGTGTCTCCGGTTGAAGCATGTCTCCAGCTTCTTCTTCCTCTGCCGATCTCGGAGTTTGGCATGCTGCCATGTCGCTTCTCCGGTTGGCTGAGCGATGGGGAGACGAGATTGAAGTTCGCGTCCCATCAGGAGACGGGCTGGGGAGTATCCGGTTGCTTCCACAGGCGTCGTGCGGTAGTTGAGGAGGGCGAGGTGGGGGTCCCTCTGGCGAAGTATCCACTTGGTGGTTCTCACGGCCCGTTCAGCTGCTCCGTTGGAAGACGGCGTGTGCGGGTCTGTGATGCGGTTTGTAAAGCCGTAGGACGCTGTGAAGTTGGCGAACGAGCTTGAAGTGAACTGCGTTCCTCCGTCTGTTGTCACGAGGTCTGGTATCCCCAAGCGGGAAAAGAGGTGCTTCAGACGCTCGATGACTGCGCTGCTGGTGAG